TATAACATTTCTGCTATTCGGTTAATAAATTAATTTACTTTCGTCCCTTCAATCAAATCCTAGAGAATCGGTTTTGTGAACCATTTCATTTCCAAAGATCCGATTCAAAAGAACGAACCATTTGCGAATCGAACATAGCCAGCGTTTGGAAAGAGGCGGGACAGAGTGAGAGAGAGAGTGTGATTGCTATGGAGACTGGTAAACTGTACTGAGCAGGAAGAGCAAAACCATCAATATCGGATCAGTAAACATTTAATGGTTTCGTTATGATAGCTAACATGACTATTTCCGGTTGACAACATTACTACACATGGTAGGTTTGATTTTTTTCTCTTTTGTACTGTATTGCACTGTACAACTAGGCCATTTTGTTGTTTCTAGTATGAAAATCACAGCACATTTGTTTGCCTTAACATGGGTATGTATTTTTGATAAGTGCTCTTAATATTTTGGTGCCTAATATGATTTAGGTTTATCTAGGAGCTGAATCTCAAACGTCTGAATTTCAGTGAAAGATTCCACAAGCTCCCAGAACAAAAATGCAGACCAAACGGAGTACCTGGACACCTCTAAATCATCAGCTCTCCAATGCTCATGTACAGGCACCAAAAATATAGTATATGATCTTCTGCTTTGTTTAACATGAGAAGCTACAGTAACATTGATATTAGTGTAGAATGTTTCATGTCAAATGTGAACACTTTTGCAGGTTTTTGAAGAGAGAAGAAATTTGCTTGGAAAGTGGGTAAAAAATGCACGTACTTTAAAAAATGCTATGGTAACACTTCACAGTTTCTTGGTTTTGTTATTTGCTTTGTTGATTATATGCTCAAGCCCTCTTCCTCTTTGCCCCAGTTTGAAAAGTGGACAGATAGCCAGCGGAAACAGGTGCTACAAGACTGGTTCTCCAGATGCTCTGCTAGCCAGCTGAAACATCTCAGACAGACTCTGAGCAGCTGGGTACCAGAGGAAGCCCTTGACTTCACTAGGGTCCTTCCCAGGGTCATATCACTATATATATTTCCATTCCTTGATCCCCGAAGCCTCTGTAGATGTGCTCAGGTATGTGCCATTGTTAAGTTTATCAAATAAATTAATAAACATTATTGACATTGTACAGTATGAATATTTTGATGCCATGAATAAAAAACACTTTTCTACATGCACACTTTAATGTATTCTATACATACTGTGTGCAAATACACTAACACTGATAACATTATACATGTCTTTACTGTCACTTTTGATCAGTTTAGTGCATCTGTGCTGAATAAAAGTTATACGGTAAAAATCTTACTGACCCTAAACTCTTGAACAGTACTATGTGTGTGACATTAGTGTTTTCTGTAATATATTCATTTGCAGGTGAGCTGGCACTCAAACTGATCAAAAGTGACAGTAAAGACTTTTACATTGTTACAAAAATATTACATTTCAAATGAATGTTGTTCTTTTAAACTTTCCATTCATCAAAGAATCTGGAAAAAATATCACAATTTCCATAAAAATATTAAGCAGCACAGTTTAACAGTTTCAACAATAATAACAATAAGCAATTCTTCTTAAGCACCAAATCAGCATATTAGAATGATTCTGAATGATCATGTGACTCTGACAACTGGAGTAATGGCTACTTAAAAATTCAGCCGTGCATTGCAGGAATAAATTACATTTAAATATATATTAAAATAGAAAATAGTTATTTTAAATTGTAATAATATTGCATAATATTGTATACTGTTTTGAAATAAATGCAGCCTTGGTGAGCACAAAAGACATAACATAACTTTCAAAAACAAACAACATTTTTTTTTAAACTTATGTACACAGTATTATATTTGAGTTCTGAGTTATTATAAAATATCACGAAAACTTATGTGACCCACTGATATGCTGCACTATTTTAGTGCATTTTATTCTGTATATGTGCATGTTGAAAGTGTTAGTAGCACAACTACAGCAGAAAATGCTAAGCTGTCTTTATCTCTACAGACTGATAAAGGGAAAAAGTGCTACAATAAGACAGGAAAACACTATGAAAGCACCATCTCGCTCAACATACAAGCTGCGCAAGGCCAAATCCTTGGTAAGCTAATATAATTGTCATGTGACTGTGCTGTTGATTCTCATACAAATCAGCAGCAGCAGCATGCAAAGAATTCTCCAGAGACGACATAACCAAGAGGTATCATGCATACTGATCAGACTACATGTGGGATATCATGGAAATGTGCTGCACAGAGGAAAAAGAGGGCACTGTGTTGCTGAGGGAAGAAAACAGACATTATATTGAACATGTATACTTTTTTGTTAGAAATATAAGCGAAATCAAGACTTTTATTTGTACATTTTCCCAGATGTTTTTATCCTTGGATCTCAGTGCAGCTGGAAAGCAAAAAACCAAAACAGGCCACAATGGGCAGCTCAGAACTTAGAAGCACTTCCGGCTAACAAGGACTCCATGAAGAGACTTTCCCAGACCTCCCAATGGAATGCAGGGATACGTCCTGGTCCTGTAAGGCCTCCAGTGTCCAGACTGAGTAAGGAGGGGCTCCGTGCATCACAGAGATCCCATAGAAGCACACCAAGTAAGCCCATATGTACTTTCAATATCAATCTTAAATAGGATATTGTGCTTTTATATTAAACTAACCTGACCAAGAATGTAAAATACTCTCTGTGAATATGTGCCAGAAAATATTTAATCTTTATAATTAATTATTAATAACATGATACAGTGTAACACAAATTGGTGTAATAAACATTATTCTGTTCCAGCTGTGTCTCTTTTCGAAGGACAGCCATGAAGGAGAACATATGAAGAATCAAAAGAAGCTTGGCACATAAGGCCATCTATTGGATAATGTTGTGATAGCTACATGAACGACATAAAGTGATTCATACAAAGTTCATTTATTATCATGTCTTTAATTAAAAATTATGTCATAAGCACAATACATCCATTGTTTTTATATGATTATTTTTTTCTTCCTTGAGTCCCTCAAATGTGTTATTGTCCACTAGATGTCCCTGTCTGCATAGAATGTGTGAGTGAGCCAGTGGTTGAAATGTATTTTTATTGTTTACCATCTTGTTTTCTCTGTATTCTCATATATAACCTGTGTATGAGTTTTAAACTGATTGCTGTCTTTACCAAGGAAAATAAAAACAACGAATATGTTAAATAATTATAGAATATTTAACTCATATTAAAATATATGAAACTGATAAAACTGTACTCATATGGTTGCAATTTATATATATATATATATATATATATATATTTTTTGTAATTACTTAATGGTCATTCGCATAAAAACTTTCTTTTCAACTCGTATCGGCCTACACTTTTAATTAGATAAGGCCTTACACAGCAATGTGTGCATACACAATTACACTCTCGTTCATTAACTGACCAGAAAAAACAGGACCATTTATTTTTCTACTATTATATCAAAACAGTTTTGTCTTGAATAACCATTCTCTGTTGTGGTAAATAGAAAGTCTTTTTTTTTTTAAGTATAAAAATCCTGCCTGTGCATGAACGCTATTGAAACAGGACTTTTATTATGAAGACGTGCCTCTGAGTTGGCCATTTTGAATCGGAGCGCCAGTCGCTGTGTTCACGCGGCTGGCTCTGTGGCTGTAATATCCAGTACACTCAATTGACTGACTGCAGCTAGCTTGCAGACAGTCCCTTAAAAGAATATATTGTGCTCTGATAAGATCGGCTCTTGATTATGGCAGTATGGTATATAGCTCTGCATCTAAAACACAACTTTTAAAATTAGAGGCTATTCATTGTGCGCTTCACACTCCTTTCCAGTAGGTGGCGGAAATGCACCTTTTAAGTTGGTTTGCCAACCGCCATTAAATCCTAAAAGAAGAAGAAGAAGAAGAAGACTGACTGCAGCTGAAGTAGGAAAGTGAAGGTGGAGCTCTCCGGGGGTAGAGTCGGTAGAGTTTACAGAAGTGAAATCCCTGAAAAAAACTGTATTTGCGGAAATTATTGGTAAGCATAACATGACTATATAACGGCGTCTGGATTTTTTAAAATAGTGGGAAAAGCTTTCATTCGTTCACAAGCTTGTATTCACAATAGTTACACGCTCGAGCCAAAAGAGTGCGTTACGCTCGCGTTCCAGCTCTCTGTCAAACGTCTCGATATTCCCCGAGCCGCAGGAAGTGTAACTCCAGTTCACTGTAGAGAAAGTAAGTTTTAGCCTTGTTTCAGCAAAACTTTGTTTTACTAATTCAGGTATGTTGTTTCGATTTTAGGGAAACAAGAATATTTATCATTTAAACCTTAGAACAATTTTTATCGGAGAGAAATGCGTTAGTAGTCCTCAGTGATTTACTCGGTGTCTGTTTCTGTGACAACGGATTCAATGAAAATGTTTTAAAGGACGTTATAAACGTCACAGGTTTATTATGTATCTATAATAAGTTTGTGTACTTTTAATCTGTTTGGTTTATGAGTTTGCTGGTATTTTACAGTGAAGCCCACCCGCTGGCGGTTAAATTGAGTTGGCAGTTGGCAGTCTCGTGTGAGCAACGGTGTTTAACTGCCAATGGTTTATCTGCTCTGTTTATTCAGAAGCACGTTTGTATCTGATTTTACATCTCAAAGGCTTTTAAATGGAATTATGGTCTCAAAGTAATGAATAATTCATGTGTGTTTTGTCAAGGATGTAGACTGCTTACACCGTTTAATACAAGTGCAGTTGACTTAAATGATCAGTAACTAGCAATTAACGTTGCTTTAGGTTACTTTGAACTATGTGAGTTTGCTAAATGGATGATTATTTCACTGTAGGCGACTGCTTTGTACAGATTTTTGCATAGTTTTCATTTTCTTCTGTTGTTGGACATTTAAATGTCCTACATGCTAGCATTCCAGCCATCCACTAGATGTAGGTCTATACAGTTGCATTTCTCAGGATAAAGGTTCTTTCAAAGTGCTAAGCTGGCAAAGAGAATATCCAGGTTGTTATTGTCAACCTCAAGCCACAGCAACAGCTGTGCCTTTACAGACACCCAGGAGACTGGGAAACTTAAAGGGATAGTTCACCCAAAAATGAAAATTCTGTCATCATTTACTCACCCTCATGTCGTTACAAACCTGTATGAGTTGCTTTCTTATGTTGAACACAAAAGAAGATATTTTGAAGATTGCTGGTAATCAAACAGTTGGTGGTTGTTAGAAAAAAAAAATACTATGGAAGTCAATGGCAACCACCAACTGTTTGACGGATGGAGTGCCAGTTAGGAGGACACCCCCATGGTTTAAAGTGTATCTCTAAATTGTTGAGATACTTCTCTCCCAGTTTCTTCAGTGCTTCAGTTTTTGTGCTTCTCTGGACAGCCGGAGGGTTTTTAGATTTATTATTGTTTTCCCAGATCAATTGTGAAATGCTGCCTGCTGCCAGACGGATGGCGACAGCTGCGGTGCTCTGCATGCTGGTTGAGCCTCTGGGTATGGCTTTGCATGATATCTTTTGAAATGACAAGGATCTTATTTCAGGGTAGTTTGACCAGTCTCCCATCCTGACATAATTTTTATTGTGGTTAGAAAAGCACAGAAGCACCTGGAGATTGATTATGGTAGTTTTTGTGAACAAGTACTTCCTCTTACAGGAATATTGCCCTTGCGAGACTGCATGAAATTCCTTTCAGTTTTTCTCTGATTATAGACTGTTGGCCTAAGCCTTTTTGTCCTTAGATTGATCAGTCTGCATCTGAACAGAACAATATTTCAGGCCTAAATTAGCGTGCATTTCACTGCACATGGGCTGCGTTCGTTTTCAAGCCCATCCGTGCTGAGTAGCTAATTGATTGGTCTGCCTTTGATAGGCATCTCATGCCATGCCAAGTACGGTGGCAGAGCATGCGAAAGGGAGCACAAATGGTTGTAGTGAATGTGCAGCATTTTGGCAGTGTGTAAATACATTGTGTGTCGTCCAAAAGGCCTCCGCTTCCTCATCCAGCTGGCAACAAGGCATGTGTAAAATCACTTGTTAATCCACAGAGGTCGTTTGTCTGTTCAATACAGTGCATGTGTAGCAGCAAAAATAGAATGCACTTTTAGTTGTTTTAGTTGTCCAGGGTTTTCTAAGTGTAATTGGATTAGTCTACTCATGATTTGTCAAGCTTTCAAAGCTGATTACATGATTCAGCAGTATATTGTTATCATTACAACATGAAAAATTTGGGTTGCACTGTATCGTATTGGTTATTGGAAGAGATTTTGTAATTTAATGTATTGGTTGATAATTTCCTAATAGCTAATTTTCTTTATTTTTACATTTAGATTACATTTGCCGCTCACTGAAAAACTTCACTTAAATCTTTAAAGTCACTAATAATTTAATGACCATTAAATTTAATCATTAAAAATAAATAAATATCTATATTATATATTGTGATCATTTATTTTAATTAATGTAATTTCCAGTTCTCCACTGTTGTTTAAACTAATTTATATTAGTTGCATTGCTTTTATTTAGTTTGTATTTAAAAGTTGTCTCAATGACTGTGTGGTGGATTTGTTGTCTTAGACTCATAATATGCTTACTAACTGAGCTTTAATAAACCCTCACATATTTCTGTGTGTTCATCTTCATCAGCGAATTGCATCTGAGAGATTTAACTAATACAAAAAAAAAAATAATAATAATCCAGTGGACTGATTTGATTTGCATGGTTATTAGGGGTGTAACGGTTCACAAAAGTCACGGTTTGGTTCGATACGATACAGTGGTATCACGGTTTTGTTGTTGTCAATTCAATCAATTGATGCCGAATTGCCGCTAATTCGATGTGAAAGTAAAATGCACACAGGCATTAAGTTATTTAAAAGCGAGGAAAAAAGGGAAAACTCTAACGTACTGCCTCACCGTCACAACCCTACTGGAGTGTGTTTTTGTTTGGGAATGGGAGAGGCAAAATATCACGTTGCCTGTTACATCGTTTGGGCTGCCTTGTTAAGCACAGTGACACAGAACATTATATTTCACACATTGTAAGCTCTTTTATTTTCCAAATGTAATAGGATTAGTCCAACGAATCGTTCGGTTTGTAATGCGTACCGAACCGAAAGCCTCGTACCAAATGGTTCAGTACGAATACATGTATCGTTACACCCCTAATGGTTTTTTTTCGGTATGCATGATGCATTAATATTGACGAGAAGTAGAAGTAAATTGCTTGCCCGTCTGAAAGAAGCAAGTCATATACACCTAGGATGCCTTGAGGGTGAGTAAAACGCAGCCTAATTTTCATTTTGGGGTGAACTAACCCTTTAACTTTGACGTCTTTAAATGTACTATATTGTGCAACATTGGTGTGATGCTTTCTGTTGTTCACTTTCGACAAACTTCCTGCTAGTTTTACACTTTTATTTCCTCCCTGTGTCTGAGAGTCGTCTGTGCTGAGGTTAATCACAGGGGAAGTAGCTTATTTGAAATGCAATGATTGCAGAAACCACTGGTAATATTTTTACATAATATATTAAGTAGGATGTTTGTGAAAGCTTGTAGCCGTACTGTTGTGCCTGAGAACAGAAGCATGGTTTTGCTAGCTGCAGGCGATCGTGTAGGTGATAACTCTGTGTCGAGCTGCGTACTGTGAGTTGGAGTGTTACCAGACCTGACTCCTCAGCTGGCATTTTAACTTGACTGTAACCTTGGCCGTCTGAGTTGTCTGGCTCTTTTCAGTGATGCTACTTTTTCATTCAATTGAGCAGCTGCTGGAATTTAGATTTATGGTGTTTTTGTCCATGGTAACAGTCTGTGAAAGCACTGTGAATGAAATGTATCATAGCCCAGATATTCTTTCTCTCTCTCCCTCGCTCTTTCTGTCTTTAATTTGGACTCACTTGTAGGGCTGCACGATTAATCAAATGCGATTGTCACGTACATCTTGTCAGTAAAGCCAGTTCTGTGATTAGTAGTAAATCTCCATCACCTGCTTTCAGATGGAGCAGCATTTACTACACAGAGCCGTAATTCTCTGACAAGCTACGAAAAAAAATCACAGACGATATAATCGTACGATTATGAAATCGAATAAATCGTTCACGATAATGACAGCTGTTTGCGTTGCTTCTCAGTGAACTATGGCTCTATGTAGTAAATGCTGCT